GTCAACACATCCGCAGCGACATCTACTGGACTGGAAGTTATATTAGTGTTGTTTTTGGCTGATGTTCGCCAAACATTCAAGCAATTTTATTTATGAATTTTTTTTTATTAATAATCGATACTTGGCATCAAGAATCGATGCAGTAGATCACGAAAATTAGAATCACGATGCATCATCATTACGATTATTTTGCACACCCCTAATAGACAGCATGAATGCATATCAGTAGCTCATATTAACTGCAGGTCAAGCAGTTTACAATGATATGAATATGGCGTATGGAGAGGATTGTGCAAATCCATCAATCACTTTTGGGATTAGAGGCCTCCTTTCCATCACTCTAATCTTTATCTCCCTTTAAGGTTAAGATTCAAGGCTTTACAATAAAATTTTATAATTTCCAATCAGCAGAAATGATGTAAAATTAGTTTAAATGAAAGTCAATCAGGGGTTTTATAGTGAGCTTAACATTATTCATACTTTAACTTTTAAAGGGGAACGCCGTTTTTGTTTTTTTACATTTGGTGCTTGATTTTACATTATTACATCATGTTCTCACCCATATGAGTTTTTGTGTCATTTGGAGCTGTCCTGAAGATATTCTGTTAGGTTATATCCAAGTAAAGTCTTCCTATGGGCAACGACTTGAAGTCACAGACTAAACTGTTTAAAATGTATTCCTTATGGTACGCCAGCATTAATAACATGCAGGCGAATCACTGTCCACCAGACATTCGCGGCTTTATTTTTTATATTTCTATTTTTGAAAAACATAAGAGGAGATGACATCATCCGCGCCCGTCGGCTACCGTTCATTCTTCCTGTCCACTGAACTGCAGCTAGTTTTACTGTTACTACCACAGATGATCTCGCTCTCGAAGCGGAATTGAACAATTCAGATTAGCCAGCCGAATATATAAGAGGTAGAGTGTAGCTGCCTGCTGTAATATACATTGGTTAAATAAAGTTTTTTTGGGGGGAAAAAAAGACATAAATATAAAAAATATAACCGCGGATGTCTGGGGGACAGTGATTCGCCTACATGTTATGAATGCTGGCGTACCATAAATGATAAATTATGAACAGTTTAGTTTGTGACTTCAACTCATTGCCCAACGGAATATCTTCAGAACGGCTCGAAATTACACAAAACTAATATGGGTGAGTAGAACATGATGTAACAAAGTAAAATCAAGGGCCAAATGTAAAAAAAACTAAATTCCCCTTTAAAGATTCACCTCATATCTTCTTTTTTTTTAGTATTTGGAAGTATTTACAAGCAGGAGTTTATTCATCTACCGTTCACCTTAAATATGTCATCAAAACCTTTACACTTGAGCAGGAACCATTTAACAAGTGGTGACATGATTCCATTACTAACATGACCTGAATGAATCACTATTCTTTCTGTTAAATTCTGATGCATTTAACTCTTAATCAGAGCTGAACAAACCCTTGGGAGGAGAACCTCTATCTGCCCCTTACACAATCAATCAGCTTCACAGCTGTTACATTAAAGAAGAAGAAACATGTTACTTCAGAGAACAAAGATTTTACTTGCTGCCATTTGCCGAATACACTTGTGACAGAACGACCTTAGGATTCCAGCAAGACGTTTATTAAAATGACAGAAGGGAACCTTTAAATTATGCCAGCAGGACACACTGTCATGTGATTACCCAGTGCATTTCCATCATTTCATCTTAAATCTTGATAGATATACAATAAATTTAGAAGAAAATAAAGTAACCGGCTCTCAATTGTACCAGTTCTCTGAATTTAAACCAGTTCCACGGGCTAAACACTGAGAAGCATCTCTATTAATAGGAGGCCATATGTCTACAAAAAACAAAAAGACTAATAAACCAACTTAACTCCATTAAAACAGGAATTTTTAAATTCTATGCAATAAGTTACGCCGAGTCTAATATTTGTTTTCCCTTTCTGCCCTGTCCCCTATCCATTTGCTATGGTTACCTGGGGGGGTGGCAGTTTGAGCGTGCTGAGCAGCTGGTCCAGGGGCAGCATGCTCTCCTTCTTTAGGAGCTCGATCTCCTTCTGATGGCTTTCGGCATCATTGCCTTCTTGCTGTTCCTCCACCTCTATGGTCTCTTCATCGTCCTCCTCTTCATCACGAGGCTCAAAGTCTCTGTCTACAGAAAAAGATGCAAGAGAGGTAGTGAATTAAAGAGGGGGGCTCTTTTAATGGCAGCTATATGGAGAGAAATGTTTGCATTTTTAAACATAAAACACAAACTTCGACTTATCTTATAGGGATGTGTGTGTAAAACAAAGTAGCAGAGGACTGCAAAAAATGGTAGAGACAGGTTATACGCTCCTGATCGGATTGTCCTGCTAGAAGATGAGCTCTCTCTAAAGCATCTCCAATAGTGGACATCTGAATCCACCCGTCTCCCCTTCATGACCAAAAGCAGGTTACAAAAACTTCCTGGTGTTTCACCAATGTACCTCTAACGGCGCCTTCACAGTGAACGAAAGTTGCCACATGCATGTCTGTTGCTTTCCTGCAATATCTCAACAGAACTGTTGTAAAAACAAGATCCACTCTGATCACTTCATCACATCATCAAACAGAAGGAGCTTATATCTGCTTGCTGGTTTTTACTCAGCATCAAAAACTTAGGTTACCCAGCAAGTCACTGGGCTTTTTTTTATTATTATTATGGAAAACCAAGCAGTGGTGCTGGCGTCCTGAGGTCCACCAGATTTTCCAGAGACGCTTTTAGTTCAGGGAGAACAGGAGGTACGGTTGAATCTGAAGTGCAGAGAGGAGTAGCAGGAATCGGTACCATGGAAACGTGATCTAAAACTAATATCATTTACCTAGACAATGAGCAGTTAACATACGCTACCCGTGCTGAATACAGAGGTTGTAGCCGTGGATCTGAAGCTGTTGACAATTCTGCGCTCTTCAGCCTTTTGGAAGAATCTCATGTTTATTCAGATGCTTCCTCAGATTTGTAGAAGTTGTGCCTCTGGCCTTGTACTTCGCTTCACAAACATTGCCAAAAGTTAGCATGCATCACATTTTGGAAAGTGAAGCTCTCTTTTCAGACACTTTCTATGCCAGCTTTATTTACTGTAGCAGCTGCTTCTGATGTCATTGCGCTCTTGTTTGCACGTTCGAAACGGCAGCAGTTCACTCAGCCATAAACATCTTAAGAGCAATCCTTAATTCATCCTATCTCAACATAATTTTTTCTATGTTCCATTTTGAAAAAAAGAAAACAGGTGTTTGCAAGGTCACATCAAGTCCCTGACTGGTTGTCACAACATGATACAGAAGTTTAGATTCTCCAAATTCAGCTGCTGTTGCTGCGTATCCATCAGAGGCGTTACATCTCTGTAAACGTCCTTATTGTATGCACTTGACCCACTGCTGAACTCCTGCCTCTTCGCAGGGATAACATGTAAATGGATTGTTCTGGTCGGCGTTTGGCATGAATGCTCCATTAAGAATAACAGGATTTAAACTATGAAATTACACTATGGCTGAAACAAATAATGGAATTAATCGGGATTAATCGATTATTGAAATAATCATCAACTAATTTAGCAATCAATCAATTGTTAACTGGAGTATAGAGAGACCCATCTTGAGCAGCAATTATACCAAAGTTGTAAACAAAACAAAAAAGTTACCATTTTGCATTTAAGATTTAAAAAAAACTTTTTCTTCTGTCAACATGCTCCATCCAGAACTCTTAAAATGGAAAAGTTTTAGCTTCACCTGTTTTCATTTTTAAAAAGTCCTCTTTTAGGAACCTGTTGCTATGCGGTTATTAATCGATCAATCAAAAAAAAAAAAAAAAAAAAAGTCTACTATTTGCAAAATAATCAGTAGATGCAGCCTTAAATCACACGCAGGTGCACACAAAGATGAACCAATGAATTTAAATTTAAACGGAGCTGGTTAGATTTATTTTAAGGCTGGTGAGTTCAGTGTTTCAGTTTAGATTTTAAGAATTCATTTGGACAGCTATAAAATACATTTACATGAAGTGTATAGAAATAACTAGCATTAATTATTCCTTCTATTTAAGGTAATAATATTTTAATAAACTTTTTTTTTTTTTTAAATCACCAACCTGCAAGTCAATAATTTTTTTACACCTAAAATCAAGTGATTAGACAAAATTTGACTATTGAAACAAGTTATCCTATCGGCTCATAAAAACTTAAGATTCTAATCATGAGGAAGGAAACAAGATTATCTGACAAATACTTTCATTCAGTTTCCCTACAGGAGGAAACCCAATAAGCAGTCAGGTTCAGGGAATTAATTATTTTGCAAATCCTGTAATTCTTAAATCGTTACATTTTAATGACCATGACCAAACTAAGATTTTTATTTGTAAAAAAAACAAAAAACAAAAAAAAAACTTAATAACCATGTATCATCATCTTTTAACTTCACAGACATGCTCTTGTGTGTCAGTCTGTTATGCAGCATCCATATATAAAAAAAGACTAGTAGTGAAAATAAGTATGCAAGATGAAGAAACAGAACAATAATCTACAGTGACTACAAAAAAAGAGAGAAACTGATCTAAGGTTACTGAAAAGTACTTCCTTGCTTGTTTGATTGCTTGTGGACTGAGCAGCATCATGCGTCAGTAGATCTGAGGATACCTGCGACAGAGCAGCACTAAAGCATGACAGGAAAAGCTAGGAAGCTGCTAACTCGCTGCACAGTGAATGTTTGCTTCCCAGCCCTCTGTCATCAGATCTCTTTGATTAGCTTTGCAGCAGAAGAAGAAGAAGTCTGGCAGGTTTGACCGGCATAAATCAGGCCCGACAGGAAACACCTGGCATTAGGCACGTTCCCTGAACGTAAAGCAAAGTGGCAGCGACCTTGGCGGTGTGAACAGCTTTTTAAGTAGCACTGAAAACCCATCGGAAAAAGAAAAAGAAAATCTTCCACTGACGTGTTGCTATGACAACATCACCGTCTGATCCAATAAGTCGACTCTATAAACATGTTAAGAAAGGGACGACCTACCTTCTTCATCAACAGGAGGTGGCAGAGATTTCTGGGGAGATAAGTCGGTGTCTGACGGCCTCGCCAGCGACTTGCTAAGGAGGTCAGAATATTTCTCCGTTTGGCCAACGATGAAGTCCAGCTGAAGGTCCAAAGCCTTCTTGCGCTTTTCCTCCAGCCTAGACTGCTGCTTGAACTGCACCACCTTCAAATATACAAAAGAAAACAAAAAACATTGTAATCAGTTGGTTTTATTCATATCCTCACTGATCAAAAACAGATCGGATATGCAATATGCATACCTATATGAGCTTCAGATGTAAGCTAAATTATTTACAAAAATATTCTGATAGGAAAGACATCTCTCTTCCTAACTCCTTTTGATTTTGTATTTTTTACCTGCAAACTGATGATTTCAAAGTCTTTGAGTTTAGAACGTGTCCTTTTTTATTAATCAACCTTGCTCAGGAAGCTACGGAAGAGGATTAGGGCATTTGGAAAAAAAAAAAGTTTGCTGATTTTAAAATTTTATTTCAGTTTAGTATGGGAAAGAAGAATTCTGACTTTTTTCTAAGAATTCTGACTTTAATCTCAGAATTCTGACTTTTTTTCTCAGAATTCTGACTTTTTTCTAAGAATTCTGACTTTAATCTCAGAATTGTGACTGTTTTTATTGTCAGAATTCAGTCAGAATTCTGAGAAAAAAGTCAGAACTGTGAGATTAAACTCAGAATTCTGACTTTTTTCCCCATACTAAACTGAAGTAAAATTTAAAAATCAGTTAACTTTTTTTTTTTTCCAGTGGCCCTAATCCTCTTCCATAGGAACCAAAGGAAACAGTGATAATATGAAAACAAATCAACTAACATTTAGGCCTGTCACAATAAACAAACTAATATGATAAAAATTCATGGTACGATGATTTAAATGAGCTCAATCATTTATGTTTCATTAGCTTAGCACAGGAGCCTTCAGACAGAGAAGTAGCGAGCAGAGTAGGGTTTTCACGATACTAAACTTTTCAACTCGAAACCGATACTAAGGAAAATATTCTATACTCAATACCATTTTTGATACTACAGAGATAAAAACTCCAAATTTTAACAGAAATATTTTGATTAATAATTAAAATACAATAAATAAATAAATACAATAAACGATAAGAACAACATTTTGAGGTTGTTTGCTGTGCACAGTATTAAGCAAGCTTGATAAAAAACTTACAAAATTAAAATTAACTTTTCCTTATTTGGCTATGCTTTGCACACATAACAATGACACTAACCAAACCGGTTAAGAAACAAAAATAATTCTCAGCAGCTGCACCTGTTACAAAAAATGTCTGAAACTGAAAAGTGCACAGAATTATTCAATTACACAGTGTTCAGAAAGTACATTTTCCTCTATTCTGCACTTTAGATGAATGACTGTTTAGGTGCCACTGGTGTTAGAACTGTATCGATACTTTTGAAAATGAGTATTGTATCCGGATACAACGTTTCAGTATCAATACTTTTTTTAATATCGATACTTTTGACAACCCTAGAGCAGAGTAATGCTAGTTGATAGTTAGAAAAACAGAGGAGGATGGAGTTGGTCCTAAAGCTGCAGGGTGTTAATACTTTCAGATTTAAGCAACATTATCTTTTGTCACATCATTTCTGGAACAGTATATTGTACAGCAAAATTTGCTATCCTAACAGGCCTACTGATGACTAAATCTGCCAGGGAAATAAATAATTTTTTGCTTTTGTTAGAAACTTTTCCTTGAGTTTCTTCATATCAGAAAAGAGTTTTGTTTTTTTTTTATCTTAAAAAGAAAAGATTAACTAAAAAAATAAATGTTTATGTTTATTAAATATTCTCAGCTAAACAACAAAATAGCCTCGGTGATAGCCAGTTGTTTTATAAGTGGACATTTAGGGCGACGGTGGCGTCAGGTGCAGGAGTTTGCCCTGCAATAGGAGGGCTGTCTGTTCCTGCTTTCAGTGTCGTGTCCTTGGGCAAGACACTTCACCCATATTGCCCACTGATGGTCAGAGGGTGGGGGCACCGGTGTACGGCAGCCGGGCTTCTCTCAATGAGCCCCAGGGGAACTGCGGCTACAATGTAGTTTGCCACCATCAGTGTGAGTGTGTGCGTGAATGGGTGTAGTTGCTTTGGTGCAGTCTCCTGACTTGAAAAAGCACTATATAAGTACAGCCATTTAAATAACCATGCTATAATAAATATCAGGTACAGGAAGAGGAGGCAAGCAGTGTGCCGCACCGAGGCATCAAATGTTACCAACCGACCCCCATTTTTAGCCTGAATGCAGTGAGTTTCAGACCTTCTCGACATTGCTCCAGAACGCCCGGACTTCCTTAGCAATAGAGGCGGCTACTCTTCTGATTTTGGCGTGCTCGTCTCTCTTGGCTTTTTCCTCCTTTTGCCGCAGCTCCTCATGATGTCGCATCACCATTCGCACCACCTACCAAAGTACCAACAGGACATTAAGTACATAACCAGAGACACAGCTTTGATACAGATCAGAACATACAGCGCTGTAAGGGAACAATATTCACCTTTCTGGCCACACCTCTTTTCCACCGTCTCTCCTGAGCAAAGTCAGCAGAGAGCCACTGCATCTCCTCACAGAGGTAATCCCAGTGAACTTTGATTCTCTGCGGCTCGGGGAGACGAGAGAGACGCTTTGTTGACCAGAACCCTTCTTTCTTTAGAGCCTGGGTTCGATGTTCAATGTCTGCTTCCTACAGAACAAAGGCAAATTCAGTCCATTTTTCCTGGAAACCAGTAGTTTGTGCAAAGCATTTAAAATACCATTTTCTCTACTGATCATTGTTTGTTTATATTTGACTTATCCAGAGGAATTAAATTACATTATTAGAGTATTTAACTTGCCGTTTTAAATTCTGTTGAATAAAAGTAGCTAATAATACGCGGCTTTGTTAACTCCTAGATGATAAATGAAATCCCTGTTTTCCATGTGCAGAGTTAAAGATAACTTTGAAACAGAGGATCAACATTTTGCTTAAATTCCACATCAACTAAACAACTAAGAAAACAGCATTGCTTGAGATAAAGTTCAGGACATTTCTTTATTTGTGGCGCTTTATCCAGGCTTTAACCACAGCCCAGTCAGTTGTTCTGGGAACCTTTGACCCTTTTAGTTTTCATTTTTCAATGATCAACTTCCTGGTTTTGGAACATTTTTTGGGAACAGGAACAGAACTTCCTCCTGCTGCTGTTTGAGGAAACCAAACTAAGGAATAGAGGATTAATATTCCCTAGTTTAAGGGTATAAACCTGAATACTGACACATCAGTCACACAGGGAATGTATTGAGGCAGAAGAATTCTAGTTTTAGTTAATTAAAGCCAAACTGTGTGGCTGACATACTTACATGTTTTGCCAGCTCTGCCATGTCAGTGTGACGTTCTCCGCGGGAGCGCTGAGGCGTAGCTTGGTCTGGTGGCGAAGAGGAGCTGTAGCCCAGAGACGAAGGAGAAACAAACTTGCCATGAGGACCTCTGAGAGGCGAGGTCCTCTCGCGTTGAGGCGTTGTCCAATCAGGGGTGGATGAGGGGCCAAGGAAGGAAGTGGAGGTGGAGGGTGAGGATGGAGATGAATTGACCGCGACTCGATCTGAGATCCACTGGCGCACCTGAGGGCCGAGACGGATGGTAGACAACTTCATTTAGAGGTTTTAGGTAAAGAAGCGTTGGGATCAGTTAAAGATAAAGGTGAACATGCAGCAGAAAAGTGCATTAATTACAGTAATTATAAAAGGTTAAAAAAAGAGGTTACACATTGATTTATATGCTTTATATTATTGTTCATTTAGATAAACATGACTTACAGCTAAAAAGCCCCAAATCAGGCATCTATGAAAACTGGATTACTGCATAAGAACAAAAACCTCTAACACTGAAATGTTGATTTCAAACACAATTCCAGAGTCTGCTGACTTAACAGCTGTCTAACAATCATTGACACTCTCCACCAACAGGGTAGCTGCAAAGCGCTAATGGTAAAGCAGTTAGCCAAGTTTCCACATCAATAGGAAGCTGGGGAAGGGAAAAAAAAAAGTGATATGAATGATAGAATAATTCATGCAAATTGATGCACGAGCATGCAAATTACAAAAGATTTTAGATTCCTATTCTTGAATAAAAGTCTTTAAAAAAACATGTTTTGCAATAACTGAAAGAAAATCTTCTGAAATCATGAGTGGGGCCAATAAATCAACACCAATTTAACTCTTTTCAGTTCAACTTTAGTAGATTAAAGCACAGCACTTGTCACAATTCAATGGAATTCAATGGAATCAGTCATATTTAAAGTAAAGTTAATACACTCCAACTCATCCTACCATCAAACTCTGCATTTTCTCTAAGCATAATTTTCTATCTGAAAGTTTTCTACCAAAAGAAGCCGTACAGATTGAATCGACTGACCCGCAGCAGAAGCAGGAGTGTTAACAACTGTCAGGTCAGCAGTCCTCCTACAGATTGATTAGGCCTTTCCAAAACATTTCTATATTAAAAGTCTTATCTATGGTGCTGACTTTTCTTTCATTAATTTGGGGTTTTTCATTTGCTGTAAGCAAAGTTCAAATATCCTGTTATAGGGATGTCCCGATCCAGTACCGATAATGGAAATTGGTTCAATATTAAAAATCGGAATTAACCAGCCAATATCCAACATCCCAACAGAAGTGAGCTGATCGAATCACTTTATCTGCTTCTGTTTATAGAACACGTTGGTTACTATCAATGAGTCAGCTGTTTTTCATACCTATTGCTATTTTCTGAGTAATATCACCTAATCAAGCCTTTTCTAAAATGTCACGCTACTAAATACGAAATAAAAGTACGCATGATTCATGCCAATATCCCAACAGGTCAGTATTTGTATTAGCCAATACTCAAAGTTACAATAATGCTGTCATATTGGAAATGAAAATGTTGTATCGGGACATCCCTACCCTGTTAGCGCACTGCAAAAAATGAAATCTAAAGAAGTCAGTTTTTCTTAAAATAAGTGGATTTATTTTTAAATTGAGGGGGTAAGTGAGACACTTTGCCATTGGAACAAGACAATTTTAGGGCCCTATAAAATCCGTTTTATTTTTTCCCAAATTCCGTTTTATTTTTTCCCAAATTTCGTTTTTTCCGTTTTAATTTTTGAAAATTCTGTTTTTTCCTGTTAAATTTTTGCGAATTCAGTTTTTTTAACCTTTACTGTTATTTCAGTCGAAAAATAATGTGCTTTTAATGTTAATGATTAAATTGTACACAAATAAAATAGGAATGACCTTAAATTTATTGAGGTAAAAAAAAACAGATTTACTTAGTACTTTTACTGCATGATGCAACATAATACTGCACTCTAAGTACTAACAAAATATTAATGGTTATGAACCAATGGTTATAAATAAAAAGGGCTCCATTAGCTTTTTCAAGTAAAAAAATAAAATAGGACCCAATTTAATTTAATAAAGAATCATATTTTCCATACAGTACATTAAAGTGCATAAAAAACAAGGCAAAATACAGAAAGCAACTGTTTCTCAACTTTTTCGCCGAAAACGGAGCTTTGGAAATCCGCTTTGCCATTTTTTCAATGTTTTGATTGGGGAGGGTGAGCGGAAATGCGGAGCGGGAGGGGTTGTGTCGCCCAGATTTGCGTCCCCCGGTGTGCATTTCCCCCCCCGACGTACGTTCTTCTCCCACACAAAAACAGAATTTCATGTCAAATGTAGAAATTCTGCTAGATTAATTAGCCAATTCCGCGATTCCGTGATCGAGGAAATTATAGGGCCCTACAATTTACATTTAAAATAAGAAAAATACTATTGCATTGTCTTATTTCAAGTGCATATTATCTAAATATCTAATTTTAGGAGTAAAAACACTGATTCCATTGGCAAATCATCTTATTTACCTACTCAAATTAAGGGTAAATACACTTAATTTAAGAATTTTTTACTTCTTACTAGTTTTTTTTTTGCAGTGCATCAGCCTATGTGGGTGTTGGACAACCACCGCTTACCTTCCGAAACAGTGCTTGTGTGTCTGTCTTGCTCTTCCCTTGCTGTAAAACACACATGGCTTGAGCATGCGGCCAACTTAAAAAAAGGAGCTTCATAACAGCAACACTATTCACATGAGCTGCATTAATGGACAGCATGCAGGATGAAAACAGTGCAAACATGCCAGCCATTTTATTCAATAAAAACAGGTCAGTTTCATTCCTCTGACTTGCTGTGATGTTACAAACGTCTCCATTCATCCTGAAAATCTAATCATGCAAGCTTTGAATAAAAATATGCATCAATGTTAACCTCATGAAATTTGCACTAACCAACATTGACTTTATCTGCTGTAGTTTTCCACTACAGGAAAACTACAGCTTCCTTTTCTGTTGTAGATTGGATTCTTTATTGGGTTCAGTTAAAATGAAGACCGAAACATCACCCCTCCACCACCATGCTTTACAGTTTGTATGATGTGTTTGTGTTTTCACGGCTGTGCTTGATTTCCTCCAAAGATAGCCAAGAATTTCCAGATCAGGTACAGATTTTTCTCTGTTTTTTGGGGGGGTTTTTTTACATGCTAAATGTACCATAGTTCGACTTTTAGTTCTTTTTTGTTTTTACTCTTCTAGATTCATGATTATTCCGCTAACAGAGAGAACTTCTAAAGGAAAATTATTTCCCAGCAACAGCGTAAAAAACAACTTGTATGCTTTTGTTTTTTCAGTTCAATATACAAAATAAAATCTTACGTATAAAGAGAAAAAAAATTTGATTTAGAAATACTGTAATTTTTTTTAAGAGAGCATAATTGCTTAAAGGTTGTTTTAAAAAGTGTAAATTTAAGACTACAAACTACAAAGCTGCATCAGAGCGCATAATTCATTGAATATACCCCTCTACAGGCTGCTCAACAATACTTGATCACTAAGATACTGAAGACGCTCCCAGAGATCAGAATCAGTTTTTAAAGAAGTATTTTTATAAAAGATGCAGCGACAGAGTGACATGCAGGATTGACATAAGTCTAAACCCTTCGATGGATCCCACAGCAGGCTAACTGGAGGCTGTTGATGCTAACATTAGCATAGTTTGTACTATTTCCTGTTGCTAATTCCTACGTTTCATGAGTTAATCCAGCATTTGATAAGATGCCCTAGCTTATTATCTCAAGCAGATGGAGTAATCTAAACTGACCTGGATTATTCCCTTAATTTAAGATAAAACAGAAAAGTTGATGATTAAGTGAAATTTACTGCAGACATTGATATAAGATGGTTACCATCCAGAGTAAATAATCCTTCTCACTGCAGTGATGGACTTCCAGCTGCCTTATAACTCTTCCCAGAATGCTCAGAGCTGCAAAGTTAGCAGCATCTGGTTGTAACCTTTAAGCTTTACTTTATGTAAAAACAGAGAACTTGGTTTTCTTGTTTTTTTTGGTAAACATACCACATTTTCCGCTCTTGATATTAGTTTTAAATATTTTTGAACCTCATAAGGAACTGATCATTTGTTTGATATCTGCAGCTCTAGAATGGAAAGAGACTCTATTTTACATTGTATCTTTGTATCTTTCTGATTAAACAGATGCCACAGTGTGATTTTCAGATAAGGTACCTTGTGTGAAGAGCTGGGTGTTGTTATCTCACTCCCGTCTGGGTCTGCCTCATCATCGCTATCTTCCTCGGCGCTGCTGACGTGTCCCAAATCAGCCTCTTGGACGTCGCTTCCCTGTTCGTCCTGATCTTGGTCCATGTCCTCGCTCTCGTCCTCTGCATCATCGGGGAAGCTGTTGGAGTCATTGGGATTCTCAGTTTCGTCCCTCTCTTCTGGTGCTGAAAGCATGATGAAGGTTTGAGGTGTAACAGGCTGGGGGGCGTCTAGGGGATCTGCCTCTTTTGATGATGTTTCAGAAACAGTTAAGGCCTCAGATTTGCTGGTTGAAGCTGTAGGCATGATGGATGCAGTCTGTTGAACTTTCACAGTAGTTGTTGTAGATGACGTTTTGTCAACGCTGCACTGAGTCTGATCTCTGTGGCTGCTAAGAGCTGTAGACGCTAACGGGGAGTCCACGGCTAAGACAGGTTGGGGAAGGCACTCCTTAGGCGGAGAGCTGAGGGTGCCGGCCAATTCGCTGTCAACATTCTGTGGTTTAGATACCTTTGCCTGCAGGGAGGGTGGGTGCTTCAGGAGGGGAGTTTCTCCTGGCTTAAAAAGAAGCAGCTTTGGGTTTACGACAGCAGAGGAGTAAGTGGTGCAGAACGTCTCTGGATTTGTTTCTGTGGACACCACCACATTGTGAACAGATGGAGTGAGAGACAGAGTCACTCTGGTTCCTTCTGGTGAAGAAACACAATATTCAGGTTTGACAGCACTAACAACAGTGAACGCTGGGGTCTGGCTTGGAGCGCTGGAGACGTGCACAGAAACAGAAGAGGACATCTCAGAGTCCTCGCCGGGGAGTACGGGCGATAAAGGGGCTTCGTGCTGCACAGAAACTGTTTGAACTGCAGCAGAACTGCTCACTTGTGATAAACCCAAGTCTACCGACCCGGGTTGTGAACAATGGGTCCCAGTTTGTGCAGCAACGTCAGACTCGACGGTGAACGAGTCGGATGTAACAGCAGCCACTTGGACTAAACAAACTTCACTTGTGTGCGCAACTTCTACAGTTTGGTTAGAATTTAGCACTAAATGCTGTCCCACCACTCGGGGGTTCTGAACAGACAGAGCGTTATCAGCGGTTGCCCCGAGGGGCTCCTGGGAAATGTAGATGGTGTCAGCTCCGGTAACTGTGTGAATAGACGGCTCGAGGTCCTCGTCTGCGTTTTCCAATAAGGCGTTAAACAAGTTCACCTCGTAGCCCGGGGAGTGAGGGATCTGCGCGCTGCCGCCGACGCAAATGGTTTCCTCTGCGACCTCCTCCACCAGGCTGCAGAACTCGTATACCTCCAGGGGCTGGGCGTGCACCCCCTCTTCGAACAGCTTCGGTTCCCCTGTTGAAAGCTGGTTGACGATGGCAGCCTGGCAGACGGTGCCATCTTCCCGCTGCACCAGATAATTCTGATTCAGGTGCAAGTTGGACCAGTCGCCACCCTCTCCGACCACCACGATTTCTTGAGCCTCGCCTGAGCGAAGAATCTCGGCAATCAGTGACGCCTCGGTTGAGGGGATTTGATCTGAGGTATGAGACGTCCCTGCCTGAAGCGAGACAACTAGACTTGTGTCTGGCAGCGCTGACCCTGCAGGAGGATTTGAGGAGCTCTCCTTAGAAGAGATCTGTGGCAGCATGTTGAAGGAGGTTGTGGCGGCGTGTTCATCCCTTGTGTTAATGTCCGCATGCGCTGCTTCCACGGCGCCACAGAAGGACACTGAGGTTTCTTTTCCAGGTGATGACTGTCTGGCTTTTGATAACTGAAGAGTTTCAACTGAATGAGGCCCAGTTTCTGTGCTGAGAAAAGTCTCGTCTGATTCCAAAGAGTTTGTTTTCTCCTTTTCCACGGCGTCAGGAGAGATCTTTCCGACCGTTGTAGGTTTTGCTTCCGATGGGTCCGTTTGTTTGACTTGGAGTTGAGGTTTTGAGTCCTGCCGACTTCCCACCGGCTCTGCAACCCCTGACAGAGCCTTGTGGCTGTGCTGAACTGTATGGACCGGCAGTTCCTGGATTTTAAATCCAACACCTGACTGGGAACCGGAAGAGGGGAGTGTGAAACAGATTTGTGATTTGGGCCGCAAGTGAATATTTCCTCCTGTGAGTTCCACATTTTTTCCAGTCTCTGGCGCAGGACTCTGCGGATGAGGCTGAATCTGGAATTCCTGACTATTTGACAGGCTTTTCTCTTTAACAGTTTGTGACCCGTACTGATGCTCTTCCACTGTGCTGTCAATCTGTGCTGCAAGAGGAGGACCTGGGGGAAGTTTTTGCATTCCAGCAGTGGACCTAAGCTCCTCAGTGAGAAATGTCGGCGTGGTCTCAGAGAGGACCTCGTGTGAAATGATGGCCTTAATGTTGCTGCTGGGGATAGTCCCAGGCAAAGTGTTCGGAGAGGCGCGCTCCATTCCCGGCAACGCAGAGTTGTTGTGGTCTGGCAATGGCACCGTGGACGGATTTGTGGAAGGAGGGACAGGGCGGGGGGCAGCTGCGACCGGCTGCGGGGCATGCCGAGTCGACTCCCCAGCCACATTCTGTGCAGCCTGGGGGTTGGCACCCAGCACATCCACAGCCGGAGAGGCGAGCTGCCGCTCCGCCTCCTCTCCAGATCGTCCTTCCTCTGAGCTGCTCCGACCACACACTGCACCTGTGGAGATATGGGACATATTATAAACAAATCTGATTTATGGTTTCCCAACTCATGACCTTAGGGCTCAGTATCATGTATGGTTTTCGTCTGTTTAAGATTGCTGTCTTGTTTGACCAGGCACGTCCTGAACCCCCTACTCTAAAGGTCCTTTTCAGCCTCTGAGATTTTCAACTCAATCCATCTTGCCATCAGCTCTGAGCTTCTCTGACCCTGCTGATGAGAAGCATCCAAAATGGAGCATTAGGACTGAAGGGCAATGTCTGTTTTTCCTTCATCATAACATAGAGCAGGGGGGCTCAAGTCCAGCCCTCAAGATCTACCATCCTGTAACTTTAGGCAACTGCAGGCATTAATGCCCATTCTCATTTTTTCGTGAAATTTTATTCTCCTGTGTGGCTATTTACATTTTCACTTATATGCGACTTCTATGTCATCTCATGTGTGAACTCCATTTATACAACTTAAGTGTCCTGCATGCAGAGTGTAGGAAACAAATATGAAACAAGCATGCAGGCTCCGTCTTTAAGGAAGTAAACATGGATAGTACTGCTGGAGCGCATCTGACGATATTTCCCACCCTCAGCCAGTGCATTAAAAACACAATCTTTTCAGGATGGTTGAAAATAAAGACTGCTCTACGCATTATCGTCCGCCAAGGTTGGTTTTTCTTGCCGCTTCTGTGTAGCAAGATGCAGAATCGTTACGCTTTGTAGAGTATTAATGGCGTACAGGTTGAATGAATGCAACCTGGCTATTCAGACACAGGTCGCATTTGAAAAGTAGCCTTCGGCTACATTCACACGTTGTTTTTTTGTTGTTGTTTTTTTCCACATATGTGACCTGTATCTGATCTTTTCATGACAGTCTGAACAACACAGATCCGATTTTTTCCAATCCGACCCAGGCCGCTTGGCTATGTGGTCCTGGATCCGATAC